GATCTGGATTTTGTCAGTCAGGCCTTTCTTATTTTGCCTAAGACTTTTCAATGTTTAATTTTCCTGAACGCTGTGTGAAAGAGGATGAAAAAATAAACGGAACACTAACATGGCCACATTTGGTGGCAGACTGATACAAGTCCTTTGAAGTGAATTCATATACTAGATACAAATTTAACCGTTTGTATTTTGTTTTAAGAAATGAATTTTATCTTCCATCAGTGTAATCTCTCCCTGCTTTCAAGGTTTGCTGAAATCCAGAAGACTCACCAGACATTGCAGCTGTTGAAAATAACACATTCCTTCCAGTCACTGACAAAACCAGAAGATAAAGGGTAGAATGAAACATTTTGTTTTCTTTTCAAAATGTTTTTTCCTTTCACTAAAGCTATGAAATATTGAAACAGCCTTATTTCTTCTGTTCAGACACATTGTGCTGACCATGACTTGTAGGAATTTATGAAATACTGTGTGGGAGGTGAAAACATTGTCAACACACCCACTCACACATACCTCCGCTCCTTTTGCCACAGATTTGTTAATGATTCCCAGAAGCACTAAATATAAAAGCTCTGCTGCCATCACCCTTAGCTGCTTGTTCCTCATTTATCAATAAGATTTAAAAAAAATCAAAGGACAAAATTTGCTAATACTTAAAAAGCTTTAATTTAGTGAGATTAGTAAAAGCAGCAGAGAGTCAATATAAAGATACAGATTGGAAGATTCGGTTAAGAGAAGAAGGTAATAGCTTGTGTAAGACATATCTTTTAAATGGCATTGCCAGTATTTCTGCCTGAGAAGCAGAGCCACCTTGGTGATAGCAGAAATAACTTCTTACACTTAAAAACCTCAAGTCTTTTAAGATTGAACTCGGTGTTAGTAATCCTGTTAAAGTAAGGTCAGGCCAAAGCAGATGGAGGTAGCTGAGACAAAGACTTATTTCATGCCTGGTATTTATAATCTCCTCAAAGTAAGATTTTTTTTTTTATTGTTTTGTTTTCCCAGTTTTGGTTTATACTGCCTGGGAGTAGAAAAGAGCAGTATTTTGTATGCTTTTGGTATAATACACTTGGTTTCTGGATCTGTTATAAATTAGTTCTATTATCTCTATAGTTTCTTCCCTTTCTGGAAAAAAAATGGGGGGAGAGTATTTGGGGGAGACTGGAGCCCTGAAATATTTAATGAGAATTGATTGATTTTTTTTTTTCCTTCTGTTCATGTGATAATGAGCCACTAATCAGAGTTTCATAAATACATGGTAAATTCCAGTTTCAGAAAAATGATACAATTTTTTAAATTCTCCTTTTTTGAAGTGCAAAAACTAGCTTTTTATTGCCACAGACCTGGCTAGATATGAACTCTTAATTAATGCTAATTAAACTACTGTAAAAATCACAGAAAAACGGTGTCACAGCCCTGCAGGCACTCTTGCCTGCAGGGCTGTGACAAGTGGCTGCCGTAAGAACGGGGATCTTCTATTTAGGTGATCTTCTATCTGAAATGAATCGACAGGTCTTAATGTAGTTCTCAGTGATTTATGTAAAAATGCTTATATAAATTGCAACTCACTGGCCTCCTGACAGTCTTGGTATGCAGGCTGAGATTCTGGCAGGTGTCGAATTACACTGATTCTTCAGATTACAATCAGAGCATACTGGTAGGAAGTTGAGAGAATGTTATGTGAATAATCAGAAGTTTCTGTTCCCTGAGACTCTCTGGCCCAAACCTTCTGACGTGACCTTAACTCCCTTTTAAAAATGCAATTTTTCTCTCTGCTAAACTTGGAAAGACTGAAAGCACAGGAAGCTTTAGTTTTGCTGAGTTATAGTTCTGTTCTGAAAGAGAGGATTAGTACTGGCAATGTTTGGGGGTTTTTTGGCTGTATCTAAAAGTAGGAAAGCAAATAAACATTGATGTTTTTTTGGAGCTATATACTACTAATAATATGGAATAATAATGAAAAATCTTTTTTTCTGTTTCATTTGTCTCCCTGCCAATATCTCTAGTAAAAATAAATATTTTCTCTCAAGGTAAGCATCTTCTCCACATGTACTGGAGATCAAAATATTGTGCTGCCCTCTAGCCAACTATATGTGTTACCTATCACAGTCTATGAGGGTCTGAAAATGATTTTTGCTTCTTACCCTTATATACCCATGCTGCTTTTATGCTTTTACTTTATAGTTAAAGCTATTTTTAAATAAAGATCTCACCTATGAGCAAAATGGTAATTCTGTTTCCAGAATGAAATCACGTAAAGTATTTGCTGGCATAATCTCAGCTCTAAAGAACAAAAAAAAAGCTGTCAACCTATTTTTAGAATGGATGCAAACACTTGTGAGTAAAAGTATAGCCAATGCTATTTAGTTAGTTAAAAGTGTGTTTGTTTGGTATGGTTTTTGTTTCATTAAGTAGTTCTATTACTATGTTTGCTTATGGTGTATAGTAGCAGGTTATGACTGAAAATCATTAACTGCTGTTTGTTAAGGTGCTAGAATTAAGTAATAACAACATTAGCCTCTCATTCTGTAGTTAGAATGAGTCACACACTGCATAAGTTTCTTGAAAGTTTACTGAAGTAATGCATTTCTGTTGATGTTACAAGTGTACCAATGCAAGCACACCTTCTGGGAGGCAGTGCTTGTTAGTATTTGTAAACTGCTCTACCTTTCTTCTCCATTCACTTCCACTTGGCTACCTCCATCATCCTCCAGGTCCATTTTTCCCTGTGACTCCTTGTTTTCCCATCTATCCGCATTGCATACAGGTGATTTCTTCTTCTTCCATGCTGTCAGGGCACAAGGAAGAGGAAAAGTCTGAAGCTGTATGCTAAAGCATTTTCAGGGTAGACAAAGTTCTTCAAAGATGTAGTTTATTTTGTTCAAAGTATTCTTAAGTCACTTTAAAACTGCGGCTTATTTCAGAGACTAACAAGTTGACTGAAATCACAAGTATGTCGTGGTTGAAGGTTTGTGTTTCAGGATATAAACTTACTGATAGAGAGGCTGTTCCTCTTTGGCAATGAAATGCAGAGCTTAGCTTCTTTCACATCATTGTGGTATAATAAAGATCAAATGACAGCAATCACTGCCAAAGGTATGCTTGGGTGTCTGTTTCTTTTCTTCTGAGTGAGGGTTAGCCAAGTGTCTGTTTTCATAACTACCTTCTCCATTAAGGTTTTTTTCTATAGCTCTACTTGAATGTAATATTTTTCTCCAAAATGTTATGCAGTTTGCTCTGTGCTATTAAAGAGTTATTACATTCACAATAATGAGCAAAAGTGATTTCCCTGTTTGGGATATAATAAAGAGTTGCTAATGGGGAAAAAAAAAGCTAAGTAAATCTAAGGTTCTCTAAAACTCTTCTAGGCAGAAGAAGAAATTTTAAGTTGGTAATTTGATTCCTTATAAGAGAACACTAGTATTTTGGCATGGAATGTACATCTGATTGCTCAAATCAGTGTAAAATTCTTGAATATGTAAAGAGGTGAAAAGGAACTTTCTCAGAATTTATCTTCAGAAACCACCAAACACTCATGAATTCCTTATCATAAACATTAAAATCACATACTTTAGACTAAATTCCTAAGGAACTATGGCTTTCTTCTGTCTGCTAGTCTAACCAGTCCTTTTCAATGACCTTTAGATAGTTTTACTGAAATTTGACAGGTTTTGGTCTCATGTACCATTTAAGTTCCTACAGTTTTTTTGTGAAAATGGACTTCTGACTAGAAAAAGAGAAACTCAGTTACTGCTTACAGTATGGGAAAGGCAATTGTAGTTCAATTCTTACCCATTTTGGGGCGAGGGGTGGATTTATTTTCACCTAGTCACCTACTCTCCCTTTTTCTATGAGCTCTTCTGCAATATTGAATGATTGATTTGAGATTCTACCTCCAAACAGAAAGCTTCAATAAATAAGTTTTGCCAGGACCCATGGTGAACAATACCCTACAAGTATAGGCAGCAGGCAGAGCACATGCAGGTGTTTTGCCACACCTATCTCAGTCTCAGGGCTATGCTGTTGGTTGCAGCTCCATTAGACGAGTGTGTGCTATGCTTATATTTTTGCCCATTCGATTGTATATCCATGTGCTTCCTGGTATGTCTGGACACCTGTATGATTCTTCTACTGTGCTGTTGCAGAAGGTGCTTCATTTTATAGAATCTCTCTGCAGGCAGTTCCCTCCATTAGAGTAATTTAAGGTGAAATAGTTGTTTCTTTACAAGTTTATGTCTGAAAAAAAGATTCTGCTAATTACTTAAACCTAAGAGGTTTATATATTTCCCTGTATGTCAGAGTACAGTAGAGCAAAATAGGATATGCATCTATGTGTAGTCATAAAGAGACTTTGAAAAGGTTAGTTTTTTCCTAAATATCAAACATAAAATTATAAGTCCATTTCTCCTGTTCATTTATGTTTTGCTCCATGGTTCACTGTGCAAATCGAGTTTACTAAACCTCCTGTGCATTGATTCTAAGTATAGACCAATTTGAATGCGTTTTTGTGAATATAGTATTATGTTTCATTTATATTAAGGGGTGACTCGTGTCAGACTTCTCGGTTTTTGAGTTTCTTCATCCTTTAATGGCTATATAACCCACTCAAGAATACTATTTTTTTTAAATCTTGGAGGATCTGAGGGTCTTTGAGGACCTTTTCTTTGTAAATATCTATATTGGGTAAAAAAAAATCTTTTTTCCAGTAGCTATTTCTTGTAGATATTGTCTATAGGTTTCTCTTACAAGATAACATTACCTATGTTGTCACTTCTTGATCCTGCATACTGCATTCCTTTGAGTTTGCTGCACTGATAATCTGTAGAAATTTTGGTGTAGCAAGGAAAAGTATGTACCATCTTTATAATTTAATTCTAATTAGCGGGCTTTCGTAGTTGTTTTACACTGTAGGGGACTTAATCCTAATCAAAGATCTCTGATAGAAAGTTTGCTAATCAAAGAAGCCAACGCTTTCTGTGTGTTTTTTGTTTTTTCTCCAGCTGTTGGTGAGAAGTAACAACCTTTCTGACAAGATCACAGTTCTGTCAGGAAAAATTGAGGAGATCTCCCTACCTGAGAGTGTTGATGTGGTAATTTCTGAACCGATGGGTTATATGCTGTTCAATGAAAGGATGTTGGAAAGTTACCTCCATTCGAAAAAATGGCTGAAGTCAAATGGTGAGTGTGTCACCACTGTTACTGCTCTGCACAGAGAAAGGAAGATAAAAAGCTTCTGAAAGAAGAACAGACCTGCATTAATAGTTCAGGATTGTGTGGTTTTATTCTCCGTTTCTAGTTCTACCACCAACATCTGGAGGGCCCAAGGGAACAAATATAATGATGCAGCCTCCATTGCCATTGTTCCATAGTGTGACTCCCCACTATTTCATCCAGGAAGTGGCTCTTGAATATGTTACTGTTTGGCTGCTGATTTCTGTTCTTGTTTTGATCTTAGTGTGCTACTAAAATGACTGCATCTCTTTTGTAGTGTATCCCAAAACAAGATGGCACACTAAGCTCAAATGCCAAGCAGTGCAATGCAGATGAGAGCAGGATCACCAGATATGATGACCTTTCTGTGGAAAAACTGCAAACTCTTTTATTTAGAAAAACTACTAATTTCAAATTGTTTTGACATCCTTTCATTGGGCTTCTCCCAATACGCTAATGCTAGGATCTTTAGTGGCATGTCAAAGATTCCTAGCATTTAGTTCTTTGTATTTCATTCCTTTTCTGTTTGGAGGAGTTTTCAAGGGAATCTTAAGATCCAAGGCCTTGTGGGAATGCTCTTTGTGAGGCAAATCTGAGCATCCAGTCGCTCTATGTTAAATTCTTCTACATGAATGCCAAAAATGAACTCTAAAAGCTCTCTTTAAAGAATCCTTTAAAAGCAGCCTTTCTCATATGAAAATACTGCAGGGTGGAAATTTTGTAAAGCATAGACTGAGTCTGTGCCTCAAGGTCAGGTGCTAATCAGTTTTAATTCTGGCTTTGCTGTTGACTTCTTTCAACTTCCACATGTTTGGGTAGTATTTTTCAAATGTCATCCACTGATCTTAAGTCTCTAGTTTAGAATCTTCAGGCCCAGTTTCAGAGGAGGGCTTCTGAAAACTGATCTTCAGGCAGCTCATTCTCAGAAGGACTAAAGATGAGTGGATGCTTTTGAAGATCTGTGCCTCAATTTCTGATTCCTTACTTGTACAGTGGGGGTGATTAACTTACTTGAATCACCTTATGCAGTGATTGTTAAACTTAACGATTGTCTACAAAGTGTGCCAAAATCATGAATTTTTGTGTAAGTTGCAGTAGCAGAAATATGATCGGTTAGGTTTGGAAACCTTCTGTATGAAGTTCCTCTCTGCAAACTTATCAATATTCTCCCTACAGCCAGTTTTTAAAAGCATGTCTATTTTGTGAGTGGGTGTTACTCTTTTCTTAAGTTCCTGTAGACTCTTCCTACACAATGTACCTGCCAAAAATTTCCTTTTCCCTCCCCTCCTCCTTTCCTCCAGCTATGCATCATGTTTTATATCAGGTAGAAAAGGGTCTGAAGAGACATGTTACTGCGTGGTCCAAAGATGAGCCTTTGTTCCCTGCTTCTCACTGACATGTACTTGATAGAATACAAGAGCTTCCTTTTATGCAGTCTGATGCACTGCCCACTATAAAAAAAAAAATTGAAGAAAATCCTCTGATTTCCGCAGACATTAGTGTGTGAGTTCTTGCTGAAAATACATACCTGAAAGCTAATAGAGCAGGGTTTCATCCCTTGCTCAGTTACTAATTTGCCACTTAATACATGTAAAATTCTCCGTGCTGCAATTTCAGCATCTGTAAGCAGATTTGTAACATATATCTTGTGTGAGTAAAACTTGCAGTATTTGTTTTGAAGTCCTGTGAGATTGCTAGATAAAAGGCCTAAGAGAGTGAGGTAGTGTAACTGCTTCAGATTGTTAACAGCAGTTCTTCTGAATTTGACCAAACCATAGCCAGCAGTTTAACTCGGGATCAGATCTAAGTTTTAATGAAAATTCTCCACACAAATGTTATGTTTATTGAGCAAAGTCTAAGCAAACAAGATGTTCCATTGGAGAATACAGAGAAGGTAGCATTTCACTTCATTTGAAATAGGACCATAATAGGGCTTTATGAAGTTTCTTGGTCTGTCCAACCCACTTGTTATGGGTTGTTTTTGTTATTGACTGCTTTAATATATTCAGACTTGAGTAATTCATATGTTAATGAAAATAAATGTTAACCTATCTGAAGTGTTTGGCAACTAGTGCTTCTGAACTGGTGATCTCTTGATAGTCAAGACGTTCCTATAGAGATGTCTCTGGGACTCTGCGTTGCTATTGTGTATTATCTTTTGTTTACTAGGAATGATGTTTCCAACATTTAGTGACATTCATTTGGCTCCTTTTTCCGATGAGCAGCTGTACATGGAACACTACTCCAGAGCCAATTTTTGGTAATGATTATTTATTTTATTTTATTTTTTATTGCCTGGAGATTCAGTAATAGCTAAAAATTAAATTGGTTCTTTGATTCAATATAAAATAGAACTTAGTATCTGTCAATATTGGAAGAGTATTCTTTGTTTTCCATGTTCACTTCTACAGCTCTGGGCTGTAGCCATAGTGTTTATTGTGCGAGTCTGATAAATCTCTCAGGACGTGGTGGAGCCAGCTGAGTCTCTTTTTGAAGAAGAAATTGTCTCCATGTCCAGAGTCAGAAGAAGTTGAATGTGAATCGGTTGGTAGTGTTTCCTTTGCTACACCAAAGCATAGTGTGCTGCAAATGGTGAGCATTGTAGTGCAGGAAGTTCCAGGTATTTGTGCACAGCAGAAATTCCTTGGCACTTTTCTCACGGAGTGGGTATTAAGTCCCCTATCTCAAACAATTTCCAGTTTGGTAGTTACTTTCTGTTTGCCTAAATTTTTCATGCAGCTTCAACTAGAATCTGCACTCTTTTGCCATGAAGTGTCCTAATGCTAATATCCTCTATTGAGCTGTTGCTGTGGTTTATTTAGGAGGAAACATCAACAGCAGTATTCTAATAAGAAAAAATGGAGATACTTTATTTCAGCAAAAGGGCAAGATGGTTTATAAATACCTCCTTGGTAGGATACAGAACAATTAATGTATAAATTAATCATTTATAGATTATTATTGGAAGTTCTTGTATAAAAAGTGCAGTGGAACTCCAGAATTAATTATTTTTAAATCTTCTGCAAGGTTATACTTATTACGTTCTTTCAACTTGCAATGTGGATTGTGAACATTAAGTTGATTTCGTCAAATACATTCATTGGTTTCTTAGATTAAGGAAGAAATTTTCTTTTATGCCGAAGGCTTCTTCTCTCTGCCTCTGAAGTACACCTATGACAAAACCTTACTTATCCTATAAGGATTAAATGAGTGACAGAAAATGGATTTACTTGTTGAATGCTTTACTGGCCATGTTATCCTATTCAGCCAGTTTCTTACCTGCGTAAGCTGAGAGAGAGTACAGGTGTATACTTTGAACAAGATCTAGCTTATATGCCTAGAACTGGGGTAAATGCAACTGTGTTCTTCTTGCCAAGAGACTGAAAAAAAGAAAGTAGAAGTAACTTCTGGTAGATTTTCATATCTTAAGCGTAATTCTGATCCCTCTCCCCTAAGCTCTTGCTCTTTCTGTTTGTATGTGAGCATCATGTCGTGCCAAGAGGCAGCTTCCTCATCATTTAATGAAGAGAACATACACCTAGTTAGTAGTCAACGCAGAAACATAGCTTTTTTTTCCAGGTCTGTACAGGACTAGGTGTTACTACCAATATGAAAGCATTCTATTTCAGGCTGCTTGGAATGCTTCATCTGCATTTGTAATGAGTGTTAAGATCTCTATGTGACAAGTGGAATACCTGTAGGATAGCTACAGTGTATGCGTGTATATCTTCCTGAACACTGAGGTATATAGTAATGTTGGTGGTGATGGAAGAAAATCTGCTGCCTCTTGTTATTTCAGAATTGTACAGTGGGAATGGTACAATTCAACTACATTACTTCCTTATAGTTTGTTAACGCAAATATGCCATCTGCATTTAAAAAAAATACAGAACTTCTGGATCTAACAGGCAAGGTTTGATTCCAGATATTCTGTGCTTACACATTGTATCAGCTGAATTGTCTGTCAATCATTACAAGGCTTTCAAAGAATTGTAGAAAAGGGAAAAATAAATCTTTCAAGTCTGCTGCAGTAACTAATTACTCTCCAAGAATTACCAAGAATATTTCTGTCGTTGTTGTTATCCCAAATTGTAGTAAATCTTCATAATTATGATAATGATCAGGTTAGTGTCTAAGCCCCAAAGTACAGCAGTCTCTCCTCTGCCCATCTTTGCAAAAGGATGTCTCCCATTTTTAACAAATATTTGTTATATCCTTTTTTTTATTTTTGATGAGACTATTTCAACTACACTAACTACAGAAATGTAATACAATTACCTTGGATGAGATTCCTCTTGTATCAGGTTTTGTTTGACTTACTGCTAGACAAAATTGTTTTGGCCACCACAGTAGAGTTTATTGCTGTCTTGAGATGCCCCTAAGTGGAGGACTGTATTATCAATCCCCCTGTTTCACACGGTTGTACTTTTGTATGGATACATGCACAAAACATTGATTGTGCAAGACGATTAAATACTTCTGTAGTGTACTCTAAAGACTAACAAATTAGTGCTTCTTCTGTCTTCAGCCAAAAGTGGGATCAAAATCTTTTGAGTAAGAGTGCAGTGGTACTGCCTCTGCACTACTCTAAGACATTCAGGTTCTTAACACTAAAAGGAGACTGCATATCCTAATAGATCCAGAACTATAAGAGAATGGAGGTCAATGTCCAGACCTACTTTAGGCAGAGCGCTTTCTCTGGTTTGGGGCGGGGGGTTGTTTTGTTGTTGTTGGGATTTTTTTGCCATTTCAAATATACCATCAGGAGCTAGCTGATGATAACTAGTACTTCTGTAAACATCAAATTCCAAGCCTCAAAAAAAGCAGCTTTCCTTTATTGTACAGGTTTGTACTGTACTCAGAACATGAGATGTATTTTGTGTATAGTAAACCCTTTCCTATTTAGCAAACTGTTTTCAAAGAAGACAATGCCCTATGTCTTAGCAGAAAAATCTCACATTTTTTGGAACCACTACTTTGCATAATAATACTTCAACAAAAGAGTCAAAGAAGCATCTGGATTTGTAATTTAAACTAGCCTATGGTAAAGGCACCAGGACTTTGAAAAGCCTCCAAAATCTTATCCAAAAATCTGGGTGAGTGTTTTAGCCTTAGATGCAGCAGTTAGTCAAGACTGTTTACTGTACAAAGGAAAGTTTACATATTTCTCATACACTTGGGATTATTGTCTTGGATCTGTACAATAATAATAATGATGAGGCTGTATACATTGGCTGTGTTTCTCTTCAGGCATACAGGTCGGTTTACCGTTTTGCCTCAGAGATGCACATTAATTTGTATTTACCAGGAATCATTGCAAAAAGTGTGATAATGCATAGCCTATCATAGAAGAGCAGATTGGTCTTTCTGTTGTCAAAAGCCTTGCAAAGGTAGAAAGACATAAAGCCTAAATATACAGCAAGTTGTTAAAAAATAGTGTGTATTTTGTCTGTGTTTTTCATCAGGGACAAGTAGGTGACTCAGTTAAACAGTACAGCAAGCATTTAGAAAAGGATAAAAGATCACTTGCAGTTAGTGGTATCAGCTGACTTCCTCTCTTGTACTTTTTTAGTTCTTTCCTTAAAGATGCCTTCTCAGATATGGTCATCCAGACATATTCCCCTTATGCAAATAGCATTGACCTAATAATGCAGAATTCATTCATGTTAGAGGGTGTCATTAAACTGGTTTAGGTCCAGTCATCTAGTTTTGCAAGAAGTAACGATAGTTTAAGAGCTGTATGTATGATGTTGTAGCAATGGAGACAAACATTTTAAGTGCTTCTGAAGACTCAAAAGAAGGCATCAGATCGTGGTTTTACATTTAGATAACACTTTCATCACAAGAAATTGAGCTCTCTTGCTGTTTTCCCTCTCCATCCCATTTTGTGCATGTCATCTGAAAATAGATAACCCGTTAACTTCATGGAGTTGATAAGAGGGTCGTGCCCAGGATCTGAGGAATTTACTGTAGGCATGTGTATTTCAGCTTCAAAACTGATGCTGAAAGTAGGCTGGATTTGCATTAAATGAACATTTGCATAAATTGGTAAGATAAAAATATTGTTGTGGTGGTGGTGTTCAATGCTGTTCAGTTGGTATAAGATAACCTTTATTTTCCTCTTCTATGTCAATAAAAAGAACCAGACTTGTAATACAGGGGTCTTCAGCACCTTTTTAATTTGTGCCAGGGTCCACTCCCATTTCTGGACTAGCCCAGAATAATAAAAGGCTTACAAAACTTTTTGACCTCCTCAACTCTTCTCCCTATTCTCTGCTGTCTGTGTGGGTTCTTTCAGAAGTCTATTGTGAAAAACCTCCATGTGTCTGTTCGAGGGAACTGGGTCACCTCAGTGCTGTAAAAGATGTCTGCTGGGAAGGGAAGCTGAGCAGGGGAGCTGAGGTTGGCTGGAATTTGGATGCTTGGCAAACTGCAGGAAGGGAAAAAGACACTTAGCCACACTTCTGTTGGCAGCTGTTGTGCTTTGGCCTTTCTGCTATGCAGTGGAACCCAGAATTTTTTTTTTTTTAACTTAAACTTTTTACAATGTATTAATGTTTCTAGGTACCAAGAGTGCTTTTATGGGGTCAATCTATCCAGTCTTCGCAACGCAGCTGTGGATGAGTACTTCAGACAACCTATTGTGGTAGGTTTATATGTCTGGGGTTTTTTGTTTGTGTTTTCCCTTCTCTTCTTCCTATGTTATCCCTTCCACAAAATCCTGCAGGTACAGTGGCGTCCTTGTTTAACAAAGCTCTGTGGCTGTTGTATAGAAAGTCAGTGACTGGCTCTGTGAAAAGTGTGAACAGAGCTGCTGTCAAAGGTTAACAACGGTGTGTAATATTCCTGATTTTGCTGTAAGTAGCAGATATCTAGAGACATACGCACATTAGAAAGCTACAGAACGTGCACATCTCTCTTCCCAACATGCGACTAGCTTCCCTCAGTGTTTGCAACCTCTTAAAAAAGTGACTGGATCTTGGGTTTTCCCTTCTCTTCTCTGATACACAAATCAAAAGAGAAAGTAGCCAAGCAAACAAGTTCCTGTATTGTGAAACACTTTTAAAAATTTTTATTTTTATTTAAATATTTTCAAATTCTTGTTTAAACACTTTTTTTAAGAGTTAACCAGAGAGCTGGTTAATATTCAAGCATCACTTTCTTCAAGCTCAAGATTGATCCATCCCTATGAGTAAGAAGTCCAGCAAAGCGGGCAGGACACTTGCATGGATGAGCAAGGAGCTCCTGGCGAAACTCAAACAGAAGAAGGAAGTCCACAGAATGCGGAAAAGGGGACAGGCCACTTGGGAGGACTATAGGGACACCGATAGAGTCTGCAGGGATGCGACAAGGAAGGCTAAGGGCTGTTTGGGATTAAGTCTGGCAAGCGATGTCAAGGACAACAAGAAGGGGTTCTTCAAATACATCCAGAGCAAAAGGAAGACTAGGGAAAACGTGGGCCCGCTGCTGAATGGGGCGGGTGCCCTGGTGACGAAGGATACAGAGAAGGCAGAGTTATTGAATGCTGCCTTTGCTTCCGTCTTCACTGCTAAGGCCAGTCCTGAGGAATTCCAGACCTTGGAGGCAAGAGAGGAAGGCTGGAGAAAGGAAGACTCTCCCTTGGTGGAGGAGGATCAGGTTAGAGATCTTTTGTCCAAACTTGACATCCACAAATCCATGGGCCCCGATGGGATGCACCCACGAGTGCTGAGGGAGCTGGCGGATGTTATCGCTAGGCCACTCTCCATCATCTT